CCACTCCAGGAAGTCCTGCTGTGATCACTACACCCTCTAGAACATCAACCTCCTTGAACATTATCTCTTTTTGTGGTAATTAAACTCATCAGTCCTCTGAAGATAAGACTTCCCCAGAAATCCCCTAGCTACGGGCTGTTTTCTGTCTTACCTCAATATCAGAGGGCTAGGACCAAGAAAGGAACATTTTTGCTCTCCAGTTAGACTTTCAGACCATTATCACGGCTCATTCCAGAGGGGGAGAAAAAAAAGTCCTGCCTCTTTTGAGGCTCCTACTTAGCTATACCATCTCCCTCTCTTTTCTGCTCTCATTTACTGAACTCCCAAGTCACTTCCCCTCATTAGCTGAAGGCGGACTCCGGACTCAAAGTATTGTGCTCTGTGCTAAAGGCTCATTCTCAGTGACAACACTATAGATGACTTATTTAATTCTCTGCCTTCTCAGTGCTGTATCTTCCAAACTCCAAAGGTCACTTTTTCTGGCCCATCTCAAACACTCATTTTTAATGCCACAAGAGAACTTTGTCATCAGCAGCAATTCTTCACCTCTGAAATCTTTATTTTGGACCTCCACTACCCTTCTACCCTCCCAATTCACTGCTACCATTCTTTAGCCTCATCAAGACCTTTAAAAATTAGTAAATGTAAAATACCTGAGGTATATTTCTTCATGCACTCACAGAAACAACACATTAAGGACTAAAACACATTCAAAATATTTAAACTTTTGTTTAGTAGAGAATGCCTTAGTCAAGTATCTCAAAATGCTGCTGGCAAATGACCATACCAAGACTGTAAGTATGAAATAGAACGCAACATGGAAATAAGGACAAATGAGAATTATTCTTCAGACTTGAGAGCAGTATCAAGAAACACCCTCTATTTTTACTATTCTTGCTCATACCCACACATGCGCACACACAACTTAGAGCAAAAGCCTTACAGGCCTCTATGTAAAATGTTACATGAAAAAGATTAACATGTTTTTATATACTCCTTAAAACATCAACATACTAGGTTTTTCTAGAGAGAACCAAATAGCAAATAAAATCACTAGCACAGAGCGTTTTGGAAGGGGCTGCTGCTGAAAGGGCCCCTGATTACTATCAGTTACCTGAACCCTGGGATCCACTCTTCTGAGGGCCAGCAGCAGTGACCTGAGCCTTGGTTAAGGCTTGCATTGGCTGAGCGACAATGGTTCCTCCACCTCCACTCACAATTGCCTTGGCAACTCCTTGGGTCACAACTTGCTTTGGACCAACTGCTTTGGCGACAGACGAGCTGGCCTTGGCTACGAGGATCTGGCCACCACCGATTGCCACTGCCTGCTTCACTGCCGAAGGTAGGGTAGACCCAACTGGAACCCCAACAACCTGTTCAAAACAGAGGAGAACCCAGCAGTGCTTCTTCTCATAGTCCCTTGAGGGGGTCTTAAAGCAGCACAGTCACTCTGTTCCAGCAAAGAACAAAAGCAAACCCCTAGATAACAACACATGGGAGTCTAATCCAATCATCTAGGAATTCTACCTATGATGTGAACAGCAGTATTTCTCAGTCTGGATGTTATTACAATAAAATGTTACAGCTTTTGTCTTAACCCCAGCTACTATCTATAACCTATTTTAATTATAAAAAGTAATATGTGTGTTTTTTTAAAAAAAAAAAACAGGAAATTCAGAGAGATAAAGAAAAAGACTCCACTCATCAGAAATAATCTCTTAATTTTTTTTTTTTTTTTTTTTTTGTTATTTTTTTGGCTGCATTGGGTCTTTGTTGCTGTGCACGGGCTTTCTCTAGTTGCGGCAAGCAGGGACTACGGGCCTCTCACTGTTGTGGCCTCTCCCGTTGCGGAGCACAGGCTCCGGACGCGCAGGCTCAGCGGCCATGGCTCACGGGCCCAGCCGCTCCGCGGCATGTGGGATCTTCCCGGACCAGGGCACGAACCCATGTCCCCTGCATCGGCAGGCGGACTCTCAACCACTGTGCCACCAGGGAAGCCCTCTTAATATTTTTAATGTATTTACTTCTGATTCTTTTAAATGTACATTTTGAAACAAAGATTAGGATATAGTTTTATAATTTTTAAATTTAACATCATGTTACAACCATTTCCACTGTTGTTATTTTTCAAAAACATTTTGAGATGACCAAAAAATAATGTATGAGGATAGATATACCATAATCTAAGTAAATATTTCACTACTGTGTGACTATTTAGATAATTTTAAACTTCACATTATGAAAAAACTGCAATAAACATTCTCATATATGAACTATAAACTCCACTACATACTTTTAAATATCACCTCTTCAGTAACCCCTTCTGTGTTATCCCCATCTGAAGCAATATTTCTCCATCACTAGAACATCTAACAATTCATGTCATTTATTATATGGTATAACATGTGACACCTCTTCCAACTTATTTTTTTTAAAAGTTATCTTTTTCTATACTTTCTAATCCTTCCTTTCCTTAAAGGTAGACATTTCATTAAAAAAGAAAAAGTGTAAGCCAGAAAAACATTTAATTCAATTAAAAAAAAAAAGGTCCCAGCACCCAAAGAATGAAAGTTAGAAGTACCTAGTTCTAAAACTACCGTAAATTTTTTCAAGTAAAAGAATATTTCAGAGCTCTTTTAAAACAAGGTCAATAGTACAATGTTCAATTAGAAGAAACAACTTAATTAATGGAAAATTGGGGCAGTGTTTCACACTCCCTAATTCTTTATTTCATAAAAAGAACTTCTCACCAGAAACCAGATAAAAAGACTTTTACATTCTTTTTTAAGAATGGGAAAAGATCTGTCTTCTAAAGGCAAAAAAGATAAAGAAGAAAGTACTTTGCAACCATCAGATTGGAGGGGAAAATTTTAAAGCCTGATAATACCAAGAATTGGCTAGAGGATATGGGGAAACAGGAACTTTTGTTCACTGCTGGTAGGAAGGTAAATTTGTACAGCCACTCCAGAAAAGTACTAGGATATCTACTAAAATTGAAAATTCACCCTCTACTGGTAGGGATATATCCCAGAGAAATCTTAGACATGTGCTCAAGGGAACATACACAGAAAGTCCAAGGTAGCATTATTTGTAATTACAAAAAATTGTAAGTAATCTTAATGTCTACAAAATGAAATATGCTTAATGTCTATAGATAGAGGAATGGATAAAATGTGGTATAATACAGACTGACGGAATAGCATTTGTTAGTTACAATGAATGAACTGGAACTATATACATATCAACATCAACAGACTTTGCAAGTACAAATATTGAGTGAAAGAGGAGTTGCAGAAAAATACGAGTATAAATATCTTTTATGTAAATCTTCAAAATTCACAACACTACACGTTACTTATGGCTATTACTTATGTAATAAAAAGTATGGACTGTCAAGCTACACATCCAAATTCATGACTGTTGTTTTGGGGAAGAACAAAGTGGACTGCAACTTTATCAGTCATATTTTATTTGGAGGAAAAAAATGTTGAATTAAATATGAACATGTTAATTCACAGTGGAGGATATGTGGATATTGATTATATTATTCTCTGTATTTACTGAAATTTTAGAATCTTCCCAAATTAAAAAATAATAGCATTACTTAAGGTAGAACAAAATGACAAACCATATAACAACTGATGAATGGGATTTTTAAGTTAAATAATCACTAAATCATACATGGTTCCTTTTCAAAGAATGTGAATATGGTAAAATACACTTGTCATGTGCTTGGGTAATACGGCTGATGTAAAGAACATGGTCCCCTTATCAATTGTTATAAACCAGTGTATCACAGAGGAAAGAGTATAGGTTTTTATAAGCAGTCAGACCTGCTTTCCCAGTTTTGTTCCATCAGTTAGTAGCTGCACAGTTATTTAACCTCTTTGAGTTTTAGCTTTAGATATCTCATCTATAAAATATCTCATAAGATCATGAGGCATAAATGAAAATAAGTTTATAAAGTGCCTAGCCAGCATGATGTACACAGTAAATGACAGCTGCAGCCAGCACAACACTTGTTACTACGAACTGAAGACTGGTGATCTATGAGACTAGATGGAGACTAGTCTGAAGACTGGTGGAGACTCAGGGCAGAAAGCCGAAGGATAAACACCTGTCACTATCTTCAGCATTTGGCCAGGGCAGAGGACCTTGATCTTAAGGTTCAGTTAATCAAACAGAAATCAAAACATATAGATAACATCTCGTATCTGCTTTAAAATATTCTGGGAGGAGAAGAGCAGCAAAATGCTGGTAACTGCTGAAATGGAATAATGGGCATGTAGGATTCATTACAATAGTCTCTGCACTTTTATGTACGTTTAAGGAAGGAAGGAAAGAAAGGAAGAAACAAAACAATCAAAGAGGGCTTCCGTGGTGGCGCAGTGGTTGGGAGTCCGCCTGCTGATGCAGGGGACGCGGGTTCGTGCCCCGGTCCGGGAGGGTCCCGCGTGCCGCGGAGCAGCTGGGCCCGTGAGCCACGGCCGCTGAGCCTGCGCGTCCGGAGCCTGTGCTCCGCACCGGCAGAGGCCACAACAGTGAGAGGCCCGCATACCGCAAAAAAAAAAAAAAAAAAAAAAAAAAAAAGAAAAAAAAAAACAACTAAAAATAGAACTGCTGTATGACCCAGCAATCCCACTACTGGGCATATATCCTCAGAAAACCATAATTCAAGAAGAGTCATGTACCACAGTGTTCATTGCCGCACTATTTAAAAAAAAAAAAAAAAAAAAAAAAGGAAAATAATACATACATGTACCTATTTTAATTTCTTTCCTCCAATCCCATGCATCTGACTTGCTTTTCCCTCCTTGTGCCAACCTCTATCCTCACACTCAACTGCTTCAAAATGTCCAGAATATGACACACCTAATCCCTCCGAGAGTCAAATAAAACATAACCATGCTGGCCACAGGAGGGCAGTTTTTACTAGCAGAGCTTGTCCACCAAGAGCAAACTGCTCACAAGATAAACAACCCCCCTTTATTCTAAAACACTGAGGAGAATGAGGAAGTCTGGCATTCTACTGGGGAAAACCCTATGCACAGCTGTCTATGACACCACAAGCAAGTCTCTTGAGTGGGACCCTGTAACCCCAAATTAGTTTTTTTTTTTTAATACAACGTTTTGGCCTAGAACCTGAAATCACCTACCAACTGTTTCTCCTCTTCCCCTCCCACAGCACTGCTCTCCGCATTCCGAATTTCCTTAGTTTCACCTTTGTTCTGTACTGTTATAAATACTTAATTTCGATTCATGCTTTGATTTGGTGTTTCTGTTCCTGCCCTCCCTGTGCCCTGTACAGACCTTTGCAAGTCAGTATCTACTTCAGCAACCTGAAGGTGAGGATTCTGTACATGTGATTTTTCCCTGGATGCTGAAAAATACAGCCACTTACGATTTAGTTCTCAATGACAGTAACTATTACGTGGTACTCACACATATATACATAGGACTCATCCTCACATAACTTTAGCTGCTATCACTTATTCAGCACCTGCTCTGTGCTAGGTCCTCTATATACAATGATCTCTAATTCTCCTACAGCACTGAAAGGCAAAGGGTATTATTTCCTTTTACTAGATGAAATAACAAGGCTGAGAGAGATAAATTTGCCCAGCTCACACAAGTAATGAGTGGCTGAGATCTGAGATTTGTAACAAGCTCATGCTCTTTTAACTACACCACACTGCTTCCTTCCCATATGAACCACCAATTCCTCAACTGTCTCTTTTCATGTCAAAAGCAGCACCGCTTTCTACTTTTATGAAAAAGATAAACTGTGTTTCTATTGTGCCAAAGTTGTGTGGAAAGTGAAACAGTACCATTCTGTTCACCCTCCTGTTTTCTGGCATACTTTCTCTGACTACACCTCAGCAATAACCAGGGACACCCTGTACTTGCAGACAGCTCTTTATCTCAAGTCTAAAGCATGTACTAAATTTCTGGGATAGATGTCTTGTTTCATGCTCTGCTTCTCTGTAGTTTTTTCACACTCTTCTGTGGCTTTTCTTATCAGGTACCTTTACACTTAAGGCATTCTAGCTCAAACCCACCCATTTTCTCTTGGTCCTACCTTGCCATTAGGTAGGTGGGAATGTGACAAGAAAGCCAACACAGTTGTTCAGTATTACTGGGTGAGTAGATTTGCCAAATGCAAAAGTGGCAAAAAGCAGAAACTTTTCAGAGCTTCTGAGCATAAATAGCAATGCTATCATGATTCAAAAGCCTAAATCAGTAATACCATGTATTTCTAGGTGAAGCAAAATAGATTTTAAACAACATACAGGATGTGTCTGAGTACGAAGGCCAGATGACAATAACCGATTCACGAAAAGACTTGAACAAAATGCTTATCCCTGAAGCCAAAACAACAGAGGGAGCATCAGGAAGTAGTTGGGGGTTGCCTGTTTTAGTGATTCTGGCTATGGAATCCCCAAAGTCAATTTTTTTTTTTTTTGCAGTACACGGGCCTCTCACTGTTGTGGCCTCTCCCGTTGCGGAGCACAGGCTCCAGACGCGCAGGCTCAGCGGCCATGGCTCATGGGCCCAACCGCTCTGCGGCATGTGGGATCTTCCTGGACCAGGGCACGAACCCGTGTCCCCTGCATCGGCAGGCGGACTCTCAACCATCTGCGCCACCAGGGAAGCCCCCCAAAGTCAAATTTGATGCTGTAGTTCCATGGTTCCTAAATTTACCTAATCATATGAGTCAGTAGGAGAGTTTGTTAAAAATCCAGATTCCCGGGGTCACCAAGAAGTTCTGATATTTTTAATCATCAGTTGAGTCTTATGAGCAGAAAAGTTTGGGAAAGTGATGAATGAACTCTTACAGATTTTAGAACCACCTATAAGACTATGAATTTTTAACTCAATCTATATGCAGCCATCTAGACTAACCAAAATATCTAAAACCTATTTTAAAGTTGAAAAGCAAGCGCTTCACATAGTACTCTTAATAGCTTTAGGATATATCTGCCCTAAAAGTAAGATTATTTAACTCTGGATGTTCTAAAAGCATGCTTAGGTTACAGACAATGGCTCACAAATTTTAATAGTTCTGGAATGGGGAATTTTGGAGTCAACTAGACCTGGGTTCAAATTCTCTGTCACTTATTAGCTGTATGCTCTCAAGAATGTTGCTTAACCTCTCAGAGCCACAATTTCCTCATTTGTAAAATAGCAGTGAAAATATCCACCTTGCAAGGTTGTCTGAGGATTACAGATAATATACAAATAAGAGCATGATATACTTTGGCACTCCTAAGTACAACAGATGCAGGGAAACATGTATCTCTGTTTTAGAATTCTCCCAATATGTAAATTCCCCAAACCTCCAAATTATAAAGAAAATAAACTCTCTAAAGAGCCAAGAATCATTTAACAGATCACACAGTCAAGACATCAGAGGTGCAAACTATAGCAGTCTCCTATCAGAAATAAACAGGTAAAACAGTGGACCTGAATCCTGTCAGTTAGACTTGCATCAAGTGTAAAGTTGTGTCCATGACATCAATCATCTTCACTGCCAGAGAGATAACACGGCATCCCTTCACCTCTTGAACTGTCCCTGGGCCCTCTATAAACCGTGTCCCTGCTCTTGTTAATAACTATGAAAAGAACAGGTGGGTTAAACACCAACTTATCTGCTTTTCCTACAGGGCTTTCATCCACAGGTTTTCCCGGGACCATCAATACCGTCACCCTTTTCAGCACTTGTCCATTACTTAGGCAAACAACGTTCACTGACATGTTGACTTCCCCATCCTTACCCAACACAAACCTTAGAGGGCTGAATCTTTGGTGACTGGGCAGTCCCTTCTCCAGCAGTTAGGACTTGTTTTTGAGGGGACACAGCTATCATGTGACCCCCTTTCACAGTCACATACTGAGGGAGTGGTGACTGGCTGGCAGCTCCTGTTGTTGGTACATGAGAGGCTTCTCCAGGTTCCTGTTTGATGATTACCTTGCAACAAACATGATAATGACAATGAATAAACAGCCCATGAAAAATGCTACTAATATTTGAATTTATTCTGTCTGCAGGAATTAATGAAGCCCTGTATGTAAACAATGACTCCACTAGAAGGGTAAAAATACTGCTTAAGTATAGCCCATAATAGCTATTAAAGGGACCAAAAGTAGGATGTGGACTTGATCCAGTGTATCTGCAAACCAACCTCGTCATTTGTTTTAGACATTAGTGGCAAAACGGCACCAGGAAGTTCCCATCTTGCTAGACTCCAAGGGCTGCCCTGTGAACACCACTAAATAAATGGAAGCATGTCTCAGAAGTAGGATCCAGTCTTAGAGATGAGACATACTAAAAAGTTCCATGATGTGGGGTAGTAGCATCAATCAACTCCAACATGCCACAAAAAGATTCTGTAACAAGAGCTTATCCACTTGTGGGATAATCCTCTCATGAATACTTACTTTTGTGAAAGCTCCAAGTCCTCCAGTTATAGGTTTGGGGCTTTGAACCTTAGGGTGACTCCCAATTGGGCAAAGAGGTGGCATAGATGCGAACAAAGAATCCTCCTGCTGTGTTTGTAAAAATACGTATTGTACAATTAGGATAAAGTGAGCGATTTCACTCTAGTCACATATTTAATACAAACCTGTGACATTCCCTAGCAATAAAAACAAAAAAAAAGCCCAAAACTCTTTGGGGGCTTCCGAGTCCCTACACCTGCATTTTAATATTGCTTGAAAAGACAATTCAAAGTAAGGCTATAAATTGGCAAGAACCTACTCATCTGTGCCCACTGTAAACTGGAAAGACTCCTATCATACCACCTGTAATATCTGGCTGACTCATTGGTTTCATGTCCAGCCCCCTGCCAGATGCTACTAAAGGACAGGTACTGTATTCTATTTCTTTTCTATCCCTAAGGTCTAGGCACTAAATAAACAATGAATGTAACAGGCAGTAACAGTGTTTCAGTATACCACACCCTTGTAAACAGTACTTGCAACTTGATCTGTTACTCTGGAATAAATACGCAGGACGCAGGGGGAGATTTTTCACTAAAAATTTTAAAAACAATACAACAAAAAGAACTTGAACAATTAGCAAATACAAAGACAGCAAAGGTCAAAATTCAAAATTACTGTCATTTGTCTCTAATTCTCAAATACAAAAGGCAAGTCTCAGAGGCAATTTTCCATAAATAAATGTTGGGGGCAAGAAACAAAGTTAAGAACACTGTTTAACTATGTAATGAAAATATCATCAACAAACATGCAAAAATACACTGGTAGAAAATTAAGACCTTCAAGGAATTCTTACAATTCAGGCATTCATAGAACACAGTGCTCACAGATTACACTGCATTAGAGAAAAACCTCGCCTTGGGTCAGGAAACTATTCAATATCATCACAATTAAGTGCCTAGATATAAGAAATGCTGTGTTAGCACCAGTCATGTAAGAGATGATCTTTGAATTCTCAGGAATTTTCAAACAGGAGTTTACACCTCAGAGGCTCTAGCCTTAAGGTAGCCAAGACAGTAACAAATAAGCTGAATAACTATGTCAACAGCAGTGACTGTCTCTGCGGAACAGTGAGCAGATATCTAGCACTATGATCTGAACAAGTCACATCATATTTGGAATTCTAAATTTCAAAGGACTTCTTATCCTGAAGAAGGTGGGGGAAGGGGAAAATACACTGTGGAAAGATACGAATTATTACTTTGTAAAGAAAAATGTATAACAAAGCTGTCAAAAAAAAATCATAGGTAAGGTAGGGGAGTCTGAAGTACTTGATCTTTATGACACTTCTTAGCTTGAAGATTATACTTTATGAAATCTGCATCATCACTTGCAAATTCTGGCTCAACTTGAATGTACCACGTTTAGAAACTAGCAAAGTGCAATAAGAGTGTTTGTTACCTTGACAGCAGATGTTACAAAACTACTTCCATGAATTTTAGGAATCGGGGAACCTGTTCCTTGGGAGGCCTGAGAGGCAGTAGAGAGCTTGCTGGTAGGACTTCCTGATAAGCAAGGTTGATTTAAAAATAAAGTATAAACAAAGTAAAACTTACAAAATGGAATTTTAAAGCCATTTTCCACCACCCTCGTCTTCTCCCCACTATTTATTGTTCATTTTGAAGGGCTGAAAACTCACAACCATGATACTATTATAGGAAAAAGTACTTAAGGATTCACCCTGTGAAGCTGACCGCTTCATCGACCTAAAAAGGGACAAGAAGCTAGTAAGGAAGTGTAGAAGAATAAGTAAGTAGACATTATATATTCTGCACTTATATAGAAAGAGATACTGTAACATAATGGTGTTGGCTATTTCACAATGTGCCAAAATGTATGCATTCAACTGAATGCTAGTTCCTTCAAAGTAGTTTCACTAGAAGGTTATGCCTACTCCAAAATGCTGACATTAAACACTTTATACTCCATCAGTACAACTGGCTTTAGGGTCTGATCAAAATAAGTCACATTATCTACAGTCAACAGTAAGTCAAGACTAAAAATGGTACTTGGTCACCTCCTCCATTTACCAAACTTGCCTGCAGAGACTTTGGCTGATTCCTAAAACTAAACATCCTCAAAAGACATCTACTTGGCATCCTTAGGTGTACTCAAAAGGGAATCTCTGAAAGTAGCATTTTTTAAAGGAGTCCCACAATTATAATCATTGTTAAAGAACATAACTTTCTAAAAAAATAGTTGGAAAGGCCCAACACACATTAATCTGTGTTAAAATCAAACATGTTAGAAAAAAATCAGTCTCATTATTTTATAGTTATTTCTCTTATTTCTCTTTTCGATATTTCTATTAGAAGTGAAAGCTACAGGAAAGGTTACACAGAGGTGCACGTGTTTAAACAATTTAATTGAAGGCAATAAATAAAATGTTAGTGAAAGTACCCCAAAGAAACCTGAAAAGCTCTCTGTATTTATATGAGGTTATGATGATAAACACGGGGAATCCAAAGACTTCTTATGCTTCCTATTAGAGTTGTTTTTTGTTTTAAATAACTACAGGGTTCAGCTTCCCTCCCACATGCAAGTTTTATCTTATTCACTGAAAAGTAAAGATCACTTTTTTATTTCACTGGAGAAAAATATGTATGGCTCACAAAGCTATTCTTGCTCTAAAGCTTAATTTGGAAAAGTTAATCCCATTGCCTAAAAAGAATGTCTTCTAAATGAGAATAAAATCCACTCTTTTTTCTTCTTTTTTAGAAAATTAATTATGGTTCACTATGAATCTTAAGAAATTTAAAAAAAAAAACTTAAGTAAATTCCTAAAAACATAACTTTTACAAGAAGTAAATCTTCCCTCAGAGAAACAGCACTGGAAAACAAAAAAGAATATATATATATATATACATTCTTATGTATTCCCTCCTCTTGTTCATGGTTGAAGATTTCATTCTCCCATTATATGGCTACTAAGTCACATTAGGATTCCACCTTTAAAAAAGATCAAATCTTGGGGATTGCACGAATATTGTTCCATTCAAACACAAACCTGCAGTAGGAGTGGTGGCTCCAATAACCTGCCCCGGCTTGTCCACGATAACATAAGGATTATTAATAACAGAACTGGCAGTGCCTTGCTTCACATGGACTGGAGTGGAAGTTGGGGTTCGAGGCAATGGCGATGGACTTGGGGTTGATATAGGGGAACCTTTATTAATAAAAAGAGAAACAAAATAAACTAAACAAAATAGATATATTCAGCCCATCTAAGAGGATGCTAAAGAAAATGGAAGAGGGGCAGGGCCACCAGTACAAAGGCGACAAGTTGGGAAAAGAGAATGGGACTGTAAGTTTCAGGTACTGAGAGCAGCAGCAGCAGCTGAGGCCAGGGGTTAGTGCATTTTACTCTCTACATCCTTATCCATGTAGCAGCAGCAGCAGTCAGCCTGTTAGAAACAAGATACTGAGGTCCTACCCCAGATCTACCGAATATATCAATAAATCAGTATTTTAACAACGTACCCCAGGAGGCACATTAAAGTTCAAAACACAGTGCTTTACATAAGTGTGGAACTGCTGCATCCCCAGGTAACAACAACTTGGGCAGGTTGTTATAATACTGCTTACACTTGAAGAAACTGAAGTTAGGGAGGCAAGTGAACAGCTAGACTTAGGAACCAAGTCTTGATTTGCAATGAATTTCCAATAGGAAAATATGAAATTCATCCACCAAAACAAAAGTCTCTCTCAATACCATGTCACAGCCACAATCCAGAGATTCGTGTTCCCATAGTTCTCAGAAGTTACCGACAGATACATTATTAAACATCCTCAACGGTTATGGATCAAACCTGTTATCCATGAATTTCTCTAACCTTCAAAACAATTTATATGTTCAGCCTACTCCACCTCTGAAGCAGCAAGCTCCAAAAGGCTTCTGATAGGTAAAATTATACATTCTTTACCTTTCATCAATTTCAAGGACTTGGATCATATTTCTGCTTAGCTATTTTTAACACTGAAGACTCCCCCCACCCCCTTCATTTAAGAATTATATAGAAGTCTCCCAATGCCTATGTATTTCTATTGACTCACTTTCATGTCTTTTCTGAGGTGGCACAGCCAAAACTATAAAGCATATCTCTACTAGAAGTTTACCTAACATAAACTGTTGCGAGGCAATGGACAATTCAACCTCAGTGAAAATGAAACCTCAGAACGACCTACTGATCATAGGAATGAGTAAATTTCTAGTGTGGTTATAGAGTATAAAAGATATCTCAATCCCAAACCAACCCTTGAAGCTTAACTAAAAACCAAAAGGCATCTAAATTTTTTCTATTACTAGTCACTCTGGTTTCCATATATAATTCCCGAACTTAATTCCTACCTTAGTTTCCTCCATACATCCTAGCAAACAATTTACCTGTGCTGATTCTAGATGAAAATTTGACTGCTTTGAATTTTATTTCTTTCCTCATTCAAAAACTGTTTCCATATGAATGACTTTTGTTTTTGTTTTGTGACACTTTTGCTTTGCTAATCAACAGTGATGAGCTTGCTTGTTAACTAAACAAAAACCCTTAGAAAAACTAAAAAAAAAAACTAAAAAAAAAAGAAAAAAAAGCCATAGTACTTTGTTTTGTCATTCTAACAATTTTTACACATACCAAATTCATATATACCATGTATACCTGAGACAATCTTGCAGCTCATGGTGATAGGCTGGAAGGATTTTCCAGGTGACTCCGGATTAGGAACCTGACTTTGTGGCACAATTTTGCAACTTGATGCTATTGGCTGAAAAGCTGAATTGCCATGAGAACAAAAGGTGACTTTCTGGGATGTTGTCATTTTGGTGGGTGTTCGTTCCAATGGAGATGGCAAAGAATAAAATGTAGTGTGTCTCTCAGCTTCAGTGTTGGCTGGGAATCCTTCTTGAAATGAAACAGGCAAAGAAGTCATCAACCACTTTGAAATCCCTCACCATTTCAAGAACCATTTAAGCCATTTACCAGTAGTAAAATAAATATAGTTGACTGGTATTTAACACTGCTTTATGTATTTTCTGGTGAAATGTAAATATCATGCCTAGAATGTTTCATTAAAATGCTTCTTTCAAAAAATTAGAAAACATATTAGCTAACACTATATAATAAAATTTATAAGTTCATTATGTTCTCCCATTCTTTATATATGAATTGACAAACTGTTTAGAGAAGAAAAACTCAAAAGAAAGCGTTAGCTTAATCTAATGATGTCCTGTTTTATTAAATGCCCATAAAAAAAGATGCAATTGAAACTTAAGAGAAATAAAGTTGAGATTTTTATAAAAGAACTAAAATATTAACATCACATTAAACGTAGACTTACAGATCATACTAACACCATTTAGAATCAATTTTATATCGTATTTGTATATGTTATATAAGTGAACACTTAAATACTTAATTATATACTTATATATTCACTAAATAAAAAGATGCCATAGTCAAAATACATTTGTTGATAAGTCTCATATTGTATTTTAAATAAGATTAGATACTAATATTTGAGCTTCTTGTTCACACAACTATGGACCAAACAAGAAAGTCTTCCTGTAACATATTAGAGGAAACCATTATATTCATCAAAGAATAAAAATGTAATGCTTTTCAGTGAGTTTTGTGTTCTATAAAATGTCGATAAAACCGCATTAAAATTTTTTCTGAGAAGAGTAAGGGCTTGGCTATTTTCAAAATAGGTCTGTGTAGAAGAGCAGCATGCCTACTTATGCAAAATTTATTTTCCATACACTCATTTTCCATACACTCAAGGCGCTGAAGACAGCAGTTCAACTTCAAGTGATGGAAAGGAACATGCCATAATGACTGCTCTATACAAGGTAAAAATGCATTTCCATACAAGGAAAAATATATACTACCTTTCTCCACAGAGGTATCAGGTACTGGCTCATGTGACTGCTTTACTGGTGAGGACGCTTTCACAGGAGCTGGAATGGTCAAAGGCAAGGATGGCGGGGCATCTGAGATGTCTGACTCGGAGGACTGAGGATAAACAGAGTCTTCTCCAAGAGAATGCCGATGGAGCTCAACATCCACTACCTACACGATCGGGCAACAACTGGGCTCATGAATCCATCATCAATGTCACAGAAAGCCCCAAACCTGTCTCAAAACATGGTGCTCTAACAGACGTTGCAAATGATTTCTATCCATACTTCAAAGGCAATTTCAATCTCAATAACTAAAGGATTTATCCCAGAATGTAATCTAATCTGGCTTAATAGATGACTCAATGAAACCAATCATAAAATTGGGAACTTCCATTTAGTGTTTCTGCACCTTAGAACTCTCTTTCCCCCAATCTCAGCATGACTGCCTCTTTCTCACCATTAGGTCTCAATCAAATGTCACCTTCTCAGAGAGGCCTTCCCTAACCAACCTAGCTAATGCACCCAACTTGTCCTCCGGCTACTCTCTTCTTTATAGCACTAATTTGTAAGTGAAATTATCTTATTTGCTTTTATGTTTACTATATACCTTCTCCCCACTCTCAATACAGCCAAGAATAAAACTTCTTGAGAGTAGTAGCTACTCTCATTTGTTCATTTTTGTATCCTCAGTACCTGAACCAGTGCTTAGCATATAGTATGTGCTCAATAAATATCTCCTGGCATAACACAGCACATTTCCCTAAAGAGAGTAAGGTTTAACTTAGCTAATTCTAATCGTAATGGCTACTGCTGATATATCAAGAATAACAAAAAAGGAGGGAGAGGATGGGGTGGGAAAACAAAGTTGAAGGTCTCATACTTCCTGATTTCAAAATTTATTATTACAAAACGATAGTAATCAAAACAGTGTGGTACTGGCATAAAGACAGACAAATAGACCATCAGAATAGAATACACTCTCACATACATGGTCAAATTATTTTTGACAAGGGTGCCAAGACCACTGATTGGGAAAAGGACAGTCTTTTCAACAAATAGTGCTGGGAAAACTGGAGATTCACATTGCATTAGAATGAAGGTGGAAGTTTACTTTACACTATATACAAAAATTAACTCAAAATGGATCAAAGACCTAAACATAACACCTAAAACAATAAAACTTAGATGAAAATATACGGGCAAAGTGTCATAACACTGAATTTGGCAATGATTTCTTGGATATGATACAAAACGTACAGATAGAAGAAAAAACAGATAAATTAGACTACATCAACATTTAAAACTTCTGTGCATCAAAGGACACGATAACAGAGTGAAAAGGCAACCCACAGAATGAGAGAAAACATCTGCAAATCATCTATCTGATAAGAGATTAATCTCAAGAATACAGAGACACCTCCTAAAAATCAGCTACAAAAAACCAAACAACCCAATTCAAAAATGGACAAAGGATTTGAATTCACATTTCTCCAAAAAAGATATATAAATGGCTGATAAACACATGAAAAAATGCTCAACATCAGTAATTATCACAGAAATGCATACTAAAACCACAAAGAAATATCACCTCACACTCCCTGGATAGTATCAAAAAAACAGAAAACAACAAGCACTGGCAAAGATGTGGAGAAATCGAAACCCTTACACACTGTTGGTGGGAATGTAAAATGATGCAGCTGCTATGGTAAACAGTGTGGTGGTTTCTCAAAAAATTAAAAATAGAATTACTGTATGATCCAGAAATTCCACTTCTGGGTATACAACCAAAAGTACTGAACACAGGGACACGAAAAGAGAGACCCACATTCTTAGCAGCATTATTCACAATAGCCAAAAGATGGAAGCAACGCAAGTGCTCATTGACAGATAAGTGGTTGAACAAAATGTGATGTATACATACAACAGAATGCCTTTAAAAAGGAAATTTTTATTCATGCTACATCATGGACGAATCTTGAGAACATTATGCTAAGTGAAATATGGCAGTCACACACAAAAAAGAACACCGTATGATTCCACTTATGTGTTACCTAGAGTAGTCAAATTCATAGAGACAGAAAATAGAAGAGTGGTTTAGGGGTTGCGGGAAGAGGGTGAGTTATTATAAAGGGGTAGTTTCAGTTTTCCAAGATGAAGAGTTCTCTGGAGATGAATGGTAGTGACAGCTGCGTGAAAATGTGAATATATTTAATACCACCTAACACTTTAAAATGATTAAAATCGTAAATTTTATGTGTATTTTATCACAATTTAAAAATAAATAAGTAAATAAGGGGGGAGAGAAACATTTTTTAAAATTAAGCGTTCATTTTGTTTCCTAATTAAAAATGAAGATCAATTTTTATTCTACTTGTTCCCAAATAATACTGTAGGAAAATAACCTACCGTCTCTGCTCCAAGAGTCTGCAAGCCAGTATAAGTTCTGTCCAGCTATTGAAAGACAGAAGAGTATTAAGTTTCACTATGCTTACTTATAAAGCTTAGGATACAGTCTTATCTAAAACCCCTTTCACTGCAAGTCTTCATATCATAGGATCTACTTTTTCATAACATATAAATTCATCATGTCAATAAAAACCCTCAATTTTCTGAGAGAAAAACTGAGTAAAATAAATAAAAACAACCTCAGACATACAGGTAGTTATTATAAAAACAGGCTATAAAAATATACATGCAGTGTGATGACACAATTATATACTTAGGGTATATTTACGAAGCACTTGTGCAAAAAATGAATGAAAATTTAGGCAATATAGGCAATACTAATAACTACCAGTATATTAACTTCATGGATGATTTATTTTAGAGGAGAGAAAGGAGTATAAATTGAGGGAATGTTAATAATATAAATAAAAAAGTTTACAATTACATACAAAGAGGTTAGGTTCTTATTCTTAGACTTTAATTTATATTTAAAATTTAAATTTAAAAAAAGGATTTGTGGCAGCTTACCATATAAATCTTATACAGTAAGATCAATAGGTAAAAATGGTTAAGTTGGGTAGAAAGGAAAGAAAAGGAAAGGAGAGATGGGGGAAAAAATGAAGCCAGGGATAGGTTAGTAAATAGAAAATTCTAAAGGCCTGCAAGAAGTAGATTTCAGTCTGGCTGAGTTCCTTAGCAGGCAACACAGAGAAGACAACTCTGTCATGAGACCTAGTGTTCATAATAGAAAAGGCAATAGAGGGTAGATTTATAGTAGCACCATGGAAGAGATCTGGAGTTTTAAACCTTTGCCAACAGGTTGACTGTTAAAAAGATATGGGCAATTTTAAGGCTACATCCATTCTGCATATTCTCCAGAGCATAGATATAATAGTCTCTGTAATCTGCACTGGCCTATGTTTTATTCTTGGGACCACATTTTGAGAAAGACACTGATAAAACAGAACTATTATCAAAATGACAAGAGAAACTGGAAAGAAAGCACAGCATGCAAGAAATGTTACAAGAACAGGTTTTGGCTGAGGAAGAAATGATTTAAGGAGAGACACAAACGCTATCATTAAGCATTTTTAGACTTCTTACAAAAGAGAACAAAGTCCTGTTCTGTACTATTCCAGAAATCAAACTAGGATAAATGAGATCAAGGTTAGAAGCGGGGGCGGGGGAGAAACGGGTAACAGTTTTAGGTAAATTTATGAAAGAAGCTTCTAAAAGTTTATTTACTAAATGGATAAATGGATTGTTTTGGGAATTACTGTGCTCCAGTGATGGTTGAGGAGAGGTTAGATGACTACCTGCCAGGGAGGCAGATATGTGAATTTCATCCCAGAAACTTTAAATTTTATTGAACTCTTAACACTTACGAGTATTTGGTATATAATGTAATTATTACAGTACCAAATATAGATTGTTATATACTACAGAATTTCAGAATACAGAGGGATTGCTATGGACTTTAATAGCCAGGAAAAGCTACATAGGAACGTGAAGAATGGAAAGAATACACACAGGCATTCAAGGAGGGAAGAGCATAAAAGACTTAAGAGCTGGCCTAAGGCATTTCTGGGACACGAACAGACTGACCTGGCTGGAGTAGGATGTTCATGCAGGGGATTAGTGTGAGATAATTTAGGGTAAAGTATGTCAAGTCAAAATGTGAAGAGCCTGGAATAGTAGGCAGGGGAGTCTGAACCTGAATAACAGGAATTCAATCAAAGCTTCTCAGAGAGGAACAACATAATGGTTCTCCTGTTTTAGGAAGACTAATCTGATGGCGGTGTACAGAACGGACTGAGGGGAAAGACGACAGATTGGCATTAAAGAAGCTAATCAGGAGACAGAGTATAAGAATAGCCTAGTAAGAGTGGAAAGGGTGACGGGTAGTCTAAAAGAAAAATTATGAAGGAAGAGTAATGGTCTGCGAGTGAACAAGTATTTAGAACACAGAGGGAAGAATCAAAGATGGTTCTGAGAGTTAACAAAGAAATTGCAGGAAAAATGATACTCCAGAATAAAGATCAGTGGTCACAACAGAGGTGCTTAAGTTCTCAAGGCCAATCAACACGCAATATATAGTAAAATTAAGGAAAATCTGGTAAGAAATACTTTAAAAACTGTCTCAATCATTCACCAGGAACTCTAAGTAATAAGGACAATAAAATATGTATAAAAACTATGGAAACAATTCCCTTTATTTTAGGGATTAGGGTTGGGCCCAGTGCAATGTAAGATGGTATGTACAGTGCTTAAAATAAGTTAAGAGGAAAGCAAAACTATTTCAGACCTTCCTCTAAGTGGGAACATATCATGCCCCTCCGAACAAAGTGGCTATATGTTCTTTATTTGGTTTCAGTTCTTCTCTGAGGTTATAAAGCAATCTTGTTTTACAGTAATCTCTAGAAATAACTTAAACAGGAAGTTAAGTAGTGCTGTTTACCAACAATGGAGGACAAATCTCAGGCAGCCTTAAGGTTGAAAAAGGTACATTTGTGGAACAAAGGGAACAAAACAGGAATTATGAAAATGTACTCAGATTCATTTGGGGGCAATTAATGGGAATAATGTGGTAAATCACAAAGTAAGGGCGCTTTGGGAGAAGTTCAATATTAGGATTATATTTTACGGAGAGAAAATGTACACGAGGTTACGACAGAGAGGGATGTGGGGCACTTTGAAAATATGGTCTCTCTTCCAACTATGGAAGTTAAATGTTTATTATATAAAACTGGAAAAGAAAAACACACACATGCACACACAGAAAAAAGGGGCAGGAGAAACCGCCTACAATGTCATTACTTCAATTACTCCAACTTTTTAGGGTATTTCTTTTGTGTTTTTTCCCACCTATTTAAAATCTCGGTTGACCTCATACTATATACATAGTTTTATATTCTATGCTTTTCATTTACCATAATGGCAGTTTTTCCCATGTATAAAAAACATTTTTTTAAATAAAATTTGTAATGGTTACATAATAAACCATGTGGATATATCAGTTAAGGATTTCAAAAAGTATTACAACCTCCCACAGTACTTAATATTTCCTAAAATATGTTCACTTCTATCTTTATCCTTAAGAGATAAATAGACAAGGCTTATTATTTGTGCCTCTTTTTACAGAAAATTAAAATGTAAAGAGTAAAATACAGATTAAAAAGAAAAAGATTTCATTTACTTGTTAGCCCCAGGTGGCAGAGTACAAGTGAGCTCTGATCAGAGATTCAAGTCTTCTGATTATTTGACCAGTTCATCTTTTTAAAAAATATACATTCTGCTGTAAAGTGACCCCTTCCCCAGCCTTCAGAAGGCAAGTGTTGTAGCTGTAAGCAAAACACACTCAAAAAGATTTATCCTGCTCCCACTACCCGTGGCCACTTCTCTCAGAGGCCCAACCCACCACTTCAAGTGGAGGTGAACAAAGATACTTCAGGGCTTCCCTGGTGGCGCAGTGGTTGAGAGTCCGCCTGCCGATGCAGGGGACATGGGTTCGTGCCCCGGTCCGGGAGGATCCCACATGCCGTGGAGTGGCTGGGCCCGTGAGCCATGGCCACTGAAACAAAAAAAAAAAAAAAAAAAAATACTACATTTCTGGGGAGCAATGTTTTGTTACTATACCTTCAGATTATGTATGATATCTATCCGCTTGTTCTGGCTGTCCTTAAAGTGTACTTGAACTCTGACAGGAAACTCACCCCAGCCTCTTCTGGTCAAGTGAAAAGGAGGCTCTCTAGGGAAAAGCAGATAATAATATTAGTCCATGTTCACTCTCTCATTCTAGAAAGAATAGTTTTCCCATAATGGCTAAGTTAGAACTTCACATGTTTCTAATAATTATTTAGATTTCCTCACTTGATGCTAAATCAATATGCTGAATTCTGCTAAAATGCTAAATCATAAAAAATTCAACTCAAACCTACATTAAACTTTCAACTACTGAATACTTAGAGCTAAGACACTTATACCATACAATCCAGTGTCATTATTTTCACAGACAGGGAACTAAGGTGATTTGATGGATGTCGCAGTATCAAAGCCAGAATCCTTGATTGCTACCTGATAGACATAGGCTGTGAGGTACGTTCCCTACCCCAAGACAATCATTTATTCCTCCACTCTAGCAAAAACAAAATAAATCATGAATGCTCAATCTGAAAGTGACAATTTATTTGAAACTATCTACTAAGATGACTTAACAAATTATATATGACTTTATATAATTTTAGTGAATAGAGAGGAATGTGTGTGAATGTTAATTGGACTAGAGAATTTTCAGCAGTCAAAATGTAATTTGTGAAGAGAATAAAAAGCAAGATTGATGAGAAAAAGACTGGCATGCTGTTGATAATTGGTGTTGAGTACATGAGGATTCAATATACTCACTCTACTTTGTACTGGGTGGGCCAAAAGTTACGTTCATTTTTTTCAGTCAGATGGCTCTAGTAGCGCTTAGTTGTCTTTAACATCATTTGAAACAATTTTGTTAGATTGTATTGTGACAGCTGTCATATCAGCATGCATTTAAAAAAGAACTTACCAAAACTGGTGAATTTTTGTGTAGCCATTTTAATACTGAAGATAGAAGAAAAAGCAACATTTTTGGCATATTATGCTTTATTATTTCAAGAAAGATAAAAATGCAACTGAAATGCAAAAAAAGATTTGTGCAGTGTATGGAGAAGGTGCTGTGACTGATCAAAATGTGCCAAAAGTGGTTTGCAAAAGTTTTATGCTGGAGATTTCTTGCTGGACGATGCTCCACAGTTGCGTAGACCAGTTGAAGTTGATAGGAATCAAATCGAGACGTTAATTGAGAATAACCAATGTTATACCACGTGGGAGATAGCCAACATACTCAAAATATCCAAATCAAGCATTGAAAATCATTTGCACCAGCTAGGTTATGTTAATCGCTTTGATGTTTGGGTTCCACATAAGCAAAAAAACCTTCTTGACCATGTATTTCCGCATGCGATTCTCTACTGAAACATAACGAAAACAGTCTGTTTTTAAAACAAATTGTGACGGGCGATGAAAAGTGGATACTGTACAATAATGTGGAATGGAAGCTTTGCCTGTGGGGCAAGTGAAATGAACCACCACCAACCACACCAAAGGCTGGTCTTCACCCAAAGAAGGTGATGTTGTGTACATGGTTGGACTAGAAGGGAGTCCTCTATTATGAGCACCTTCTGGAAAACAAAACGATTATTTCCAACAAGTACTGCTCATAATTAGACCAACTGAAAGCAGCACTCGACCAAAAGCGTCCGGAATTAGTCAAAAGAAAACGCATAACCTTCTTCCATCAGGATACCACAGGACCGCATGTTTCTTTGATGACCAGGCGAAAACTGTTACAGCTTGGCTGGGAAGTTCTGATTCATCCGCTGTATTCACGAGACATTGCACCTTTGGATTTCCATTTATTTCAGTCTTTACAGAATTCTCTTAAATGGAAAAATTTTCAATTCCCTGTAAGACTGTAAAAGGCACCTAGAACAGTTCTTTGCTCAAAAAGATAAAAAGTTTTGGAAAGATGGAATTATGAAGTTGCCTGAAAAATGGCAGAAGGTAGTGGAACAAAACGGTGAATCCACTATTCAATAAAGTTCTTGGTGAAAATGAAAAATGTGTCTTTTATTTTTACTTAAAAACCAAAGGACCTTTTTAGCCAACCCAATATATGTCTGGAATTTTCCAGAATAAAAAATTTAATTGAGACCTTCATGTACTCAAGAATAATATGGTTTAAGTTAATGGGGGAAAGAGAGAATGCTTTAAAATTAAAATGTTCATTATGAATCAATGGCTTGGAATTCCTATAATGAGAAAGAATGCCAAGATTGCAGGGAGAAAGGAACTTTCAGTGGGATGTGCTTTTGGAAAACTAAGGAGGGACATGAATTCAGTAAGGGCAGAGTCCAAGAACACAACCTGAGAGGAGTCTAGGAACAGATATGAATCATCAGGCACAAAACCAGAGGCTACCAGGAGAGCCCAAAGCAGGAAAAATCCCTGAGTATGAGAGAAGCCTGGAAAGTAGAGGAAGCAACAGCTGTATTATAAACTAGAGAAAAGAAAGCAAAGAAACAGTGCCCTGGATGGAAGGAACCAGCTGAGTTAGTAAGAGAAGTAGCCATGATGTCAGCATAGGTTCAGACAGCAATAGAGACAGGCTTTGGGTCAAATGAGAATGCTGACTTGAGACAGCAGCTTGAAAAGGAATCCAAAGCCAGAGATACAGTGGGGCCTACAGACATGGTGGACTTAAGAAGAAAAATTAAGGGAAATACTATTGATGACAAGTTTAGTCATTTAAATTCCAGTAAAGCTAAGTGGAAGGCCCAAATTCATTTAGCAATATTCATCAATCTCGTGGTTTGTATGCTGAATTTCTCTTACAAAGGATATAGTAAATCAGCTGTGCTCCTCAATTTGTGTACATAGGCTAAACTCTAGTGAATGGACAGGAAGGACTGCTGCCAGGGAAGACAGAAGACAGACAAATCAGGAAAAAGGAACAATGTTTTTTAACAGGAAATTCCTCCCTAACCATATTTTTGGAAACAAAAAAGGAATCCAAGACCTACCAACAGATAAGACAGCTACAGAAATGTTATACTTCAAAAGACATATGTATTTCACACAAAAAGGGGACTGCTTCCCCTAAATAGACTTCTATATTTCTAGATTCCTCATAGAGGGTGAAATGTATCAATAACCAAGAAGACAACCCACACAATACCAGGCTTTAAAAATGGCTTTCCTAAAAATACAGAATGAAGCACAATTCCTCACCCAGATAATTCAAATGGGCAACCAGTCTTTTAGGATCACTTCTAGTGACCCAGAATTCATTACTTTAGTAACACTCTCTATCACATTTCTAAAGAGCTCTGTTATAAAAATATTTCATCTTCCTCCTGCATGTTACTTCTAGTATGCCTTCTGCAATCACAAATTCCTCCTCCACATGACCTTCAAAAAAACTAAAACATTCCACTAAGTTCTCTTCTTTTCAGGGTAAACACATTCTGTTCCTTAAAACAGCAGCAGAAGCAAACACTTATATTGTTTACTATGATCCTACCACTGTTCTAAGCCTTTTATATCTATTAACTTATCTAATTTTTAAATCACAATATGAAATATCCCCTCTGAGACACAGTGAGGCTAAATAACTAGCCCAAGGTCATGCAGCAAATAAGTAGTGGATCTGAGATGTAAACTCCAGAGCACATGCTTTTTTTTTTAATGATACAAACGTTTTGAAGAGGCTCACTAGGACATTCCCTTGGGGGCTGAGCACACTCTAGTCTCTCAAGCACCAAGGGCAGGAATATTCTACTGACACAGTAACCAAGTGTTCCTCATCTCTGCAAACCCTGTATCAAGTCCTGAGCCTAGCATACACTTAGTGACTATCTTGTGCCTAAAAGCAAAGTTTACAGTCACAGCTTTTAAGAAGTTGGCTAAGGAATAACTGAACCAAATGGAAAACAGATGGTCTATAGGAACAGAATCTACTTATGCTCTTCATCAGGTAATGTGCTCTGACGAGGAGATTCAGAGTGCACGATGAACATACATGTGCTTTGGTCCAGAGATAAAGATTATCCCCAAGTTTCAAGGCAGCTGAAAAGATCTCGCCTACTCATCACGTTACTTTAGATACTTGACACAAGAACCACCTTAAAAGCCTTGTAAAGAACACAGATTTATAATTAAATCTATGACACATGTTAATGTTCTGTCCAACCTGAAATTTAAAGTTCAGCTCTAAGAAGAATATTTTAAGAATACAGACAGGGCTTCCCTGGTGGCGCAGTGGTTGAGAGTCCGCCTGCCGATGCAGGGGACACGGGTTCGTGCCCGGGTCTGGGAGGCTCCCACATGCCGTGGAGCGGCTGGGCCCGTGAGCCATGGCCGCTGAGCCTGCGCGTCCGGAGCCTGAGCTCCGCAACGGGAGAGGCCACAGCAGTGAGAGGCCCGCGTACCGCAAAAAAAAAAAAAAAAAAAAAAAAAAAAAAGAATACAGACAAACCAGAGTGTGTCAGAGAATATAACCTGGATGGCAGAGGAACATAAAACAAAGTCACACGAATGACAACTGAAACAAATGTGGATATTTGGTTTGGAGGAGAATAGCAGAGACCTAACAGTTGCTTTCAAAATATTTGAACAACAGCTACATGGAAAAGGGACTACACTGATTCTGTGTGGTGTTACAAAACAAACAGGAAGTGTGCTGTTTAGAAGTTAAAGGAAGTTAGGTCTCTGCTCAATATAATTAAAAACTTCCAAACAAACACAGCCACCTACAAATGGAATGGCTCACATCATGAATTCAATAATTCACTCAACAAGAAATGACATTTACTACATGCTGGACACTGTGCTAGATCACAGGGAGAGAAAGAATTAAGAAAAGGTCCCAAACATCGAGAAGTTCTAAATCTAGTAAGGGAGACATACATGTAAATTAATAAGTGTAATAATAAACTTATATACATTACTTGCTATAAAAACACAGAGATGTGGTTGGTCACTGACAAATTATTTCTCAGGAGTTTTAAACACCAGAAGCACACAAGCAAGGATCTCTTTTAAAATACTATTTAAAAATCATAACCCAGTAGTTAATAAAGTATGGGAAAGTATGCTCTTGGGAAAGGTATGTAGTAATGGTGCAATTCACAAGCTGTGAAAAACTAACTGGTCAGATATACCACCACAGCCAGTTATGCAATACTGTCAGAGTGGCATGGACCAGACAGAAAATAATTATCAGAGGCTATTTCCATGATGTGAAGCCTCATAAATTTCAGAAAACAAAGTTCATTTACTATTAACAGAAGATACTACAGATGTATAAGATGAGAGAGAAATTTGAAGAGGAGCTACATGTATGATCTTTTCCTTGGACTTCCTCAGACTGTTACAATACAACCTGATAAGTGTGATTTGCCACCTTTACCTGCAGATTAGTAAAGATTTCTTAATAAATACAACTTCATATATTACTGCATGATATATTCTAAAACTTAAAGGTGTGTTTCACAAATTCCAATTCCTGGGATGAGAACTGAGAAATAAAATAGGCATTGATTTGCATCATTAAGTATTAGAGTTTTATGTAATGAGTTTTTAATCCCATTTTTGGTAAATCAGATGTTTATCATCAATACAAAATATGATTAATACATTTTAACTGATTCACATGCTTTATATTAAATGTTTTCCTAAAACAGTATTTTTGTTGCTGTTTTTACTATATAAAGGAATTTCTTGCTGGTCTGGACATTAAAACATATATATATATGTGTGTGTGTATATATATATATATATATATATATGTATATATATATATATATA